CCAGGAGGGTCGAAACGGGGGTCGGGCCAAATACTCCTTGCTCAACATCTGGCCCAATCTCTCCAACATGTGAGTTCAAGGCAATCGTTCAAAATACATCTCATGACTTGAATGGAATTGAATTGAGTGGATTTTGTGTTTTTGGTCAATCGAAACTGACAATCCAAACATGTAGGATTGTGTTCATCATCCTCCAATTCAGTCAGTGTGGTCATGGGATGTCCTATCGAAAGAAAGAGGCTTCCAGCGTCTCCGAATTGCCAAACAATCTGACATTTCAGTCTCACCCTAAGAATCCGGGCCCGAACCAACACATGGTTTGCTTCGGGTCCGGAGTCCGGACCCCTGCGAAGGTGGGTCCGGACCCCTGGCGGAGCCCGTTCGGATTCGGCTTCGGCACCCGCCGATCGACGAAGCTAACAGACCATCCTTTGCGATAGACCGGACCTCGCAGGCCATTCAAGTCATCGAAGGGTCGGGTGTTGGTTGACCGAACCGCAAACGGTCGTGCTTGGATCATGGATTCAAAACCACCTGCAATCGACCCGTGAGGTTACCTCACAAAATGGGTACAATGTACCTATAAATATTATTATATATATACCTGCTTGTTCTTCGGGTCATGTCTCATTGTCAGGTATACTTTGAAGGGTCCATGCACATCCCTGGAGACCTTTGGGTCGAACCGCGCCAAACCTGGTGACGAACCGCGTGACGAACCGCGTGACGAACCGGGGCCGCCGGGCGCTCGAGGCGATGTTGGCTTCGCCTTCGTAACCTCGGAGAAGGAGGTGGAGAGGCACCCAGGAGCTGCACCCTTTGGGACTGAAGGGTTCTGGTGCAATGCGCCAGGCAGCATCCCTTTTTGTGGGGTCCTGGTTGATGTTGGACCGTGTTGGGCCCTTCAAAGTACCCTAGAATAATAGGACATGAGATAGGGTACCATTTTAAAGGGTACTTTGAGGGTCCAGGTCCAGGTATAAGCCAAGACCCACGGTCGCGGTAGTAAAGAGAGACCCCGCATCACCTCTAAGGGTTAAAGGGGCTATTGAATTGTTGATAGACATCCCCAACTGGGACCCTGGTATACAAACCCAACTGATGAGTATGTAGATGTGCCAGTGCTATGGAGTGTCTGGGAACTACGGTTTTCACAAAGAACTCAGTGTGGGGTGGAGAAAATCGAAAATGCCTTATAGTCTATCAAAAGTGGTGTAGCAACCAGCACTCGTACTCATCTACTCATCTGTCCCATATATAGAACATGTTCGGCCACATTCTGACCAGTGGGATGATGCTTCAGATGTTGGTCTTTGCACGGATCGTTTCTTGAGACTTGACATTTGCACAGATCAGCTTTGACACGGAAAGCACCATCTCTGGCACAGGTTTAACTTAATGAAATTATGGTCCCCTATCAGGAAACCACATGTTTGCTGTTTTAAAGATCCAGCCAAGGAAAGGTCATGAGGTCACGCCATATCTGACATGTTCAAACGAGACCCATCTCAGCACCTAAGCCTCTCAGGCTCAGTTGAGTTGCTAGTTAGTAGTGATTTCCTTCCACTTTGCTACATCCCAAAATGGAGCGGTAGAATGGTTGATTTCATGGTACAAAGGGTACAATATCTTGGATTTGCGTAAGGAACCGCAAATAGTGACGAATATGTATTCCCCAGAAGGGAGTTTACCGGGAAAACATAAATCACCCTTTCCAAGCAAAAACAGGATATGCATGGTACAAAGGACCTTCAAAGTGACCTCTTTGGAGTCTCTAAGTGGCCCTTTACCATCCTAAGTGACCTCATCCTGGGATCTCATAAAGGTCACTTTAAAGGTCCGAGTCCTTGTTGTAGCAAACTCTTGATGTCAGTTTCGGTTTCGGACCATGTCTTTCCTGCGGTCTCCTTGTTCGCAAGTCCGCCGCGAGCCCTGTACACTGCAGACTGGACATGGAAGCCTTCTTAGCATGCACCCGACTGGAAAATGACTACACTCATCTACACTCCCCAAAACTCACATGGACCCTGACTGTCTGGCCCGGAAGATGGGTTTCCTCTACCAACCAGTGGTGTACTCAGGGTCCATGGTCCAGGGCTGAAGGCTCCCTCCAGCTCCATGGTCCAGGCCCGACCGACCGGCTGGCGGGATCCGGACCGGTCATGAGAGGTTCCAAATGCCTCGCACCGAGTCGACCCGGCGTTCCGGAACGGAACGGAACGTGGTTCCTTTATAAACGCATCGCTGCTCTTATATGAATATACAATATATATATATATACATTCCTGATCATTCCTTTATTCAATGCACTTTAAATGATACATGTAAAAACAACACAACAAAAAGCTGGGCTCCGAGTCTTTGGCTTCGGACACTGGTGCACGATGCGAATTCCACACTGCACCTTGAGGCTCGACCACCTACCCACCAACAACGCAGGGCTGACTCTGGTCTTGAACATTTACCCTTAGAACAAACAACAAACACAAAGGGCACGACCGGCATGACCCATTTTAACGATGCACGGACCTTGCTATCATTCCAAAGATTTGGCGTGCGACGTGACGCCGCTGACGCGGCTTGGCCCAGCGCGCCCCGCCTGCGGGTCACGTCGACGGCCTCTTCGAAGCATTCGAGCAGATTGTCGACGATCTCCTCGGTCACGGTCGGCTGAATCCGCGGTGGAAGTCCACCGTCGTCTTCCGCGTCCCGAAGTCCGAAGTCTTCCTCTCTTCGGATCCGAAGGAAAGCGCGTGGTGGATCCGTTCGGAAGTGAAGACAGCGCGGGAAGGAGTCGTCCGTGTGTGCCGTTAGACCTCTTTGGAGTCTCTGACGTCTTACAGGCCTAAGTGACCTCATCCTGAGATCTCAAAAGGATACTAAAGGTCACTTTGAAGGTCCTGGTGTGTGTGTGTGTGGTATTTTGAGACGTGGTGTTGGCGGATTGCAAGTGGCACATCGTGGCACAGTTGTTGGAGGGGAGACCTCCTGGCCTCCCAAGCAGTGAAGAGGAGTTGTTCCGGATTCGTGGTCTGGTATACGGCAATGGACCTGGTAGCTATATTTCTGATGCTTGGTGTGATGGCAATGGGTAATGAACCTGGTCTTGAATCTGGAGAACAGCTAGCAGCTAAGCAAAGCACATACGTATACGGCAACGCTGTTGGAATCTGCTTCAGTGCAGAGTCAAAACAAATTGGAGTTGCAGCTCGCTAGGTGAAGCAAAAGGGAAACATGGATTGTCAAAATCCATTTCCCCAGAGAATATTGGAAGACATTGGAAGTCTGGTGAGCAACCAGGCTTCATGAGTGTCTCATTCTGCAAGTAAGTCAATATACGTCCATATTCCAGGAACTTTGAAGTGCCCTCTAAGTGACCCTGATAGGCTGATAGGTCTGTTTGTAACCGAAAATCCCGGGATCTCGCTTTGAAGGTCCTGGTTGATCATCGGATCCCCCAACAGTTGCTGTTCGCTGCCTTCCTTTCTTTTCAATCGCACACGGCGTGCATGACGCAGATCACAAAACACGAGGGATGCTGCGCTCTGTCCTGGGGTCGGTGACAGTTGATCGCTTCAAAGAACAACATAGAACAACCTTTAACGTGCGGCGCGTTGCAACGGCGATGCAATGGTGATATTTTCGGCGGGAACCGGCTTTTCGGCGGGAACCGGCCATGGACACGCGATACTTGGCTATATAATTATTACCCAAACCATCTCTGTAATTCTCTGTATATCACTACAAACCAAGCCGATCCAAGCTGACGACTGCCACACTGATCCAAGCAAGCTCTCTCTGTGGAACGGGTCGGCCCCGAGTTCGGAACAGTTGGCTTCACATCACGCGGACATAGAGGGTTTTAGAGTCCTCCAGGGTTCCACTTTTGGGGTTCAGGGCAATCGTTCACACATGGCAATTCATGACAAGTCGGAGTAATGACATGTAGTAACTAACTATATAAACAATTACCCTGCAGGATTGGGTTCCCCTGCACCCAAGATTTCAGGCAGGGGCCTGTGCCTTGTGATGATCCTGAATGGTTCTCTTTGTTGGAACAAAGCTATACGTTCCACCAGTCGAGTCGAGCAACTAAGTCTCCTTACGCCTTTCGACCATGCACGGCTGCCACCGCTCCCCTCGCCCAGTCCGAGTCGACGGATGACCGCCGCGAGATGCACATCGGGGACATCGGAAGTGCTCGATGGCTTTGCCAAAGAGCGAAGTAGAAGATGTAAATCAGGATGATGTAGACAAGGGGTTCTCAGGAGGATGACAAGGGGTTCCCCGCAGATTGCATGAATCATATAGGTATGAACTACAATCTATAACCCAGCGCATCTGACCTGAAAGGATGCTACCATTTGGCACTCTTCTGTTGGGCGGGTGCAATGATGCTTTGTTGAAAGACTGCAGCATGTCATCCTTAAGCTTTGAAACATGCAGCAGTTCCAACTAACTAGGAGTATATTTTTAGTGTCCCGCCTAAGTGAGTGATGTTCTGGGTTCCCCTTTCCTCCAATAGACACACCTTTGGCACTACTGGACAAGGGCAGGGAATTGCCAGCAAACCTTTGTCAGTGACTGTGCTTTGAGTCGGGGTGTCCTGGCTGGAGAGAAACATGGTTGCCTGTTTTCAAGCTTTCGTCCGGTTTACTGTAGGCCCTTTTCAAGGATCCATCACACCCTATATCTTCCTGACCAGACTCAGAAGCTTAAGGTAAGGTCTTCACCTCATGCGAATCCTCCGAACTCATCTCAGCAGCTAAAATTAATCACGTCCATCAGCAGGACATCTGCACACTGTACAACTTCTGCTTGATCTTAGGACGCCACCACCGGCCATGTCGGTGGGATTGCCCAGTTTGGGCTCGAGCTTTCATCCGGGCGACTTTGCTTTCGTGTCCGGGCTACAAACTCTGCGATCTGAACCTGAGATGGTATATGACGGTATTTTAAAGACCAACACCAACACCAATATATGGTATCTGACCATATCTGACACCAAATTCCTCTTGGCTGGACAAAGACTCGCTTCACTCAACCATGGATCGCAAGCTCAGAACATCCAGCTCTTGTAGCACCAGCGGGGAGGGGGGCGTACGCGTGCCCGTCCCTTCGTTCATGGGCCTGCGCGGACCGTCATGAAACAATGGCGGGTCAGTGGACATGGGAGGATGACGGAAAACACTGGCTACACTCCTCCAAGGAACTGGAATATCAATATAAATTATATACCACTATATTATACCTAACCCCGAAACAAAAATGTATGTATATATATATATATAGACTGCTTGGTGGTTTCAACATAAAAACAAATGAGTCAGTGGAAAAACTCCTCATCCCGAGCAAAGGTTGAAAAAATAAAGAATCTGAAACCACCCAGATGGCTTTAGCTCTCACCCCCGCCGTTCATCATATCTCAGCTCAATCGATGAAATGGAGAATGACTCCCCTTCAATCTGGAACGGGAGGGGCCTCAGGGTTCGGTTCCCTCAAAAGCCTCCTACAGCCGGTCACTTAAGCAGAAAGAAACCCTTTGTCGAACCCAATTTCGGTGGGTTCCTTCTGTTTGATCGAACCCGGAAGTGGCTTTGCACAGATTGAGCCCTGACCTAACTGATTCACCCTGTTCAATTTTTGTTAAAGCATGCACGGATGTGTGCGTGTGTGGCAAAAGGCATTGCTTGCAGAACAGGGTTGTCTCCAACATCAATGTGTCCAAAAACAGCGTCCTTTGTGTGTCCTGATATATTCTGAAGCAGCGGGACTTTCAGTTTCAATGAAGAATCTTCACTGTTCTGACGAACCCCCTTCCGACGAACCCCCAAAAGACCCTCCCCGACACCCTGCACTACACCTGAAGGACCCTCCCAGAACTTCCAAGTGTGTTCTTTCTCCGAATTTCTGGTGATCAGATCGCGCCAGCTCCCTCTTCTACATGCCTTGTTGTCCAGCTCGAACCGCCAAGATTTGCTCCTGAAGTGTCGACGAAGTAACCGCAACCGATGCCACTTCAGTGCCGATCTTCGATCCCTTGGGAGTTCAGTTCGATCTCTTGGGAGTTCAGTTCCACCCGATGTTCTTTGGTCCTAAAACGAACGAACAGTTCTCCGTAGGCTGTCGGGACTGTCTTCAAAAGGCTCCGGTTCGCTTTTTTTACCCCGCTGCTTTGACGGAGCCTGGAAACCATTTGTTGGTAGACAAAAGCAGTCATTCTCAGAGTAGATTCCACCATGTCAGCTTTGGGGAGTGTAGATTCCACCAAGTTGCTACCTCAAGAGTACAAATTCATCGGCCAAACCCAACCACCACAATCCACCACACGGCGCGTTTGACCATGCCGCGTTCCACCATGTGTGTGTGTGTGTGTCACAGATCCGTCTCGGATGGATTTTGCTCAATCTAACATGATCTAATCAGCTAGACCACCTGAGTGGTAGTCCACATACTCCACTGCAAGTTGGCATTCATCCCGGGACTTTCACGCTAAATGCACATCATATATAATTATACTATATATATATATATTAATCATCATCTATGGGCTCATTTCTTCCTGCTGGACACTCCTGCTCAATTACGCTGCATTTGGACACCTAAGTCCTAGGACTGTTGACAGGACCATCCGGCGGGAATCGAATCCGGCAGACCGGCGCCAGCGACTGCCGGCGCAAGCGACAGCGCTGTTCGACACGAGGGCGATGCACTTCAAGTGGCCCAAGAAACGTGGAGTCGAGCGAAGATTGATATGCTGAAACCGGTGGTTAACATGTCATGATTGCTTAACCCAGACGCGATGCCGATCAGTTGGGGTGGTTTGAGGGGTCAATGCATGCATATATCGCATACATGGAGTGTATGGGTAAAGGTTCAGGTACATCCGAATCGGAAGTAAGTACTCACCTCCAAAACCATCCGGAAAGGAGGTACCCGGACTCTATAGAAGCAATTGGTCCAATACGTTGGGTATAGTACCAGAGCCCAGTGGATGATGATGGGGCCTGGTTCCAGGCCAACATCTCAAAAATAGTGAGTTCTTGTTTACCAGCGACTCTCTTTATGTCCATTTTGGTTTTGGAATGGCCCCACACCCGTTGGCACCACAACGGGTCAACGAACCAATTGGTCCAGTTTCAAGACCTCGGAAGTCAATCCCTCCGCCGCTGAGTCATCCGCCCTCGATGATTTCGTCGATGAAGGGCCAATCGATTTTGGAGGGTTTCCCCAAAAAAGGCCCATGGAACCTAAAACAGCTACGTACATGTCGGTGAAGGTTCCAAAACCCTAGCTGTGAGGGTCAAAACCCTATAATAGCGAGCAGGTTGGGTCCTTTCTGAGCCTTTGGGTACCCAAAAACATGCCGAAGAGGTCGCAGTGGCCCAAGAACACAACCAACCAGCAAAGGTATACTGCTTCTGCACCGCGTTTCCCCCCAGCTCTCCAGGAGTTCGACTGGAAGCTCTGGGATTCGGCATCCAAAGCGGTCCTGTGCCACGGTGAAGCAGTGTACCGGTGTTCGCGGTTGGTCGGGGTAGGCAGGAACACCAACCCTCTCTCCCACCTAGCATTAATGTGTACCTTGTCAGTTTGAACAGCTTGCTGGTAACAGGAGCAGCTGCTCCCTGGTTTAAAGTTTGGTGCTGTGCCACACAGCTTTTCCCCCCCGCCCACCCTGAGCTGTGGAGCAGCTAAGGAAGAGGGAGGGGAGAAGGGAAGCCTGTTGGCAGAGTCCTGCATGGATGGCTTGTCCCTTCATCTTGCAAAAGGTCGGCGCGCCTGCTCTAGGTCTTGTAGTTCCTTGAATGATAGGATGGGTGAGAGGACTTTCTCTCTTGGGAAGAGGGTGGGACTAGGAGGGCGGATTCCGTTTCAACACTTGCTCACCCCTGCGGCCCCCTGCAGGCCGGCGGCCCTGGAGGGGATCCACCTCCGACCCTGGTTTGCACATACGACCATCTGCCGGCTTTTTGGATGTCCCAATGAGTCTGAGGTACCTGAAGTCGGCCTGAAGTTGGGTGCGGAGGTGATGGTGCCGCAGTTCCATGTCGGGGTGGTTCGACCACGGACCCGATGGGTCCATGGGCACCCTGCAGAGGCAACTGGGATGGATGTCAAGCAGGTGTGCTCTAGTCCCATGGGATCCATGGATCCACACCATCTTTATGAAGGTGATCTATAGACTCTATAGACTCCGTGGAACACTCACATGGACCCTGAGTATGGACCCTGAGTACCCCACTGGTAGAGTGTGTTCGGAAAACAGCCGGACTGGTCCCATTCGACCCGGGTCCCTTGGGATCGTTATGAGGTGATTGGATGTGATGGTACGACGCTTTGCAGGTCCAGTCGGGTCCCCCTTCTGGTCCCCTTCTCGAAGGTGAATCCCATGGATCCCATGGGAATACCTAAGACATTTGATCCCATGTAAATCGTCCAGTTACCATTGGGATTCCATGGGACCCTATAGCCTACCATGGGACCCTATGGGCAGATTCCATCCAAAGTGCCATCCAGTGACCGTCCTTACAGGCCCGAACTCGTGACCGAAAAAACGGTGATCTCCAAGGGTCAAAGAACTACAGTATAGGTGTTTGTTACACAATATCCCTACCTAGAATCCTCCCTAAATCCGCGAATCCTTCCGGGCAAATCGGACTAAGGCAGAACTTTTTGCCCCACGTGCTTGCTTCTAGGTATTATTCCAGTCCCATCGAGTCTCTACAGGTCGTGGCTTCGGTTCGACGCGGCTGACGACGCGTGACGACCGTCGTCGCGCACGACGCGTTGTGCAAGGGAAAAAGTCTTTCGAAGTCGAAGTCATGGGGGAAAAGTGGGGAAAAGTGAAAAGCATTGAACAAGCTGTTGTTGGGAGTGTTCAAGCATAGAGGATGCCGGATCTCGTCACTACCAAAGAACCCCCAAACTCCTTCCGTGAGTGATCTCTCTTTGCTACAGGCCCATAATCCAGATGGGTCCAAGTACCTCCTTTTCGGATGGCTTTGGAGGTGAGTACGTATTTCAAGAGAAAGATCAAACTGGAGCCAAGTCGGACATCCGATGAAGAGGTAGCTGGACCTAGCTGGGAGGATTATGGCTCTGTGGTTTCAGATCCCAAAGTGTCGTAGCCCATGGGTTGATGTGCTTCAAGTCGAGACGTCTTCATCATCATCTGGTTGGTGCTTTCACTTGAAAAAGATTAGTCAGTAGGTTCAATCATCCCAAGTGAAGGTTAAACATCTGAAACCACCACCCAGTCATCTGCTCCGATCCATCTGAAGCCGCCTCGGGAATGGCAAGCACACTGGAGCAGCTGCGCAACGAGCGACCCCACCCGTGACTCGTGACCCAAAACGAAAAATCTATCTCAAGACTTCCGAAAGCCAGCAAACACTGACTTAAATGGAGGAACTACGCCTCATATCCTCCCAAAATCTTTCAATGTACTTTTGAAAGCCAGCAAAAAAACTCATCAACTACAGGAGCCACGCCAGGGCGGGCGCCCCACACTCTCGGGAGATGGGGGTCCTTCCACACAGGCGGTGCTCCGCCCACCTGGTCGTTCCGTACGCGGAACGTCGCGGGTTTCGGTCCTTGATCCGAACCACCAAACCCAAGGATGGCAGGTGCAGCCGATGCCTAAGCCGTGGAGAAGGGAAAGAAAAGGGGCATGCAGGGTAGGTATGTCTCACAAGTGGTTCAGCTTCTTCAGCTTCACCTGAAGCTCTTCCATGGTAGGAGTTAACGCCTTGCAGACCAAGTTCTGGTACTCTTCACCCACAAGCCAACCCAAGCACTGCAGTTCACTTGACCACATGATCACTGATCTCGTTCGAGCATCGGCGGCCCTAGGCATCCGCTAGCCGCCCACTCAGAGGGTGCGAAACAAAATCCAACAAACACACACAACATCGATGTGTTTTTGGATGTTGATGGCTTCAAACAAACAACTAGACTAAGTTAGAAGAATTATTCGGGATGATATGTCTCTGCTAAAACCCTGCACCTCATGTTTTTTTCTTGCAGATATATCTAAAAAACATTACTTGTAAATAAGGTTCTATACAACTCCATATTCATAAAACATATACGTGTCATGTTCATGTGGGTCTGCTACATCAAGCCCATGAACTTCATGTAGGCATTTCTCCGGCCTGGTACTGGTCGCCAAGTGGAAGACGATGACAGGCTCCTCGTCCTTCAAAGCCCAGATCACCTACCAGTCGACAAAGGTATCGACCAGGCGTCAAAACCAATGGTGTGTGCCAAACATGTTGGAATACAGTGGTTTTGGAGGTTCGATGGCACAATCTCCAAGTCCAGGTGGTTTATAGGGACCTGGCATGTAAAAGATATCTTGGGGTGCCAATGCCAATGCCATGTACTCTGAAACCACTGTACTCTGGTGGTGGACCATGAAAAGTTGAGGGGATATGACTATGGGTCATGGCAGGTGATCTTCTGGGAGACGAGCGGCCCGCTAACGAGGTCGCCATCGCTGCTCCAGGTTTCACGAGCCATCCCCACAATGTCAACATGTCTGCACTAATAATTATAGTGGATATGTCCCGTAGTTTCTCCAAGGTTCCATTCATCTTGCAGCCATTGCAGCTTATTTGTCTTATTTCAGGATCACCATGGATCACTCTTCCCCCTTTCAACACCCTGGGAGCTTTTGGACGTTCAAGGCCCGAGATTGGCGCCTTGGTGACGGAACTGGTCTCGCGGAGCATGTCGCCGCCCAGCACGAAGAGCAACTTGCTACCCTTGGCCTGGACAAAACTGGGCGTGGAACCTGGAAGTGGACCCAAGGTCAAACAATTTATCGAAATTGTGGAGAGCACTGACTATTTCTTTGTTGTGCCATGGAATCCTATTTCACATGGCCTCAAGGCCCTCCAGAAAGGGGCACGAATCATTAACCAAAAGATCCACCAAACAACCTGCGGAGGCAACGCATGCATTTATCTCTCTGGGTCACGTCCCAGGCACGCTGCCCATCTATCTACTCCAAGACTCCAAGCACATCAACCGATTGATTTGGTCCGTGCCAATTCACCGCAATGACCCACACCGAGATAAACGGCTTCCAACAAGTAAGCTCCACACCTGAAGGAGGGCACGTGCCATCCTTCAGTTCTCACCGTTTTTTTTGATGTTTCATGTACCAGGACCCTCCAGATTCGGTGGTTTTGGGACACCTCGAATCACCTCTAAGAGGCTATTGATAGACACCTCTTGGAGGGTCCTGGTATGTATTTGGATGATTTTGGATGTCTTTGGCTCGCACCGACTCGCACAGTTACGTGGTTTCACTCGAAGGGAGAAGCCAAATGAAGCGAAAGGAAGACATTGGCAGAGACTTCATGGCCTTCTCTTGATCAATCAGCCCACCGATTGTTTTTTTGAAACACCTCTTCATATGGGGGGTTGAATAATCTAAGAGTCTACATAAACCCAAAAATTATGATGGGACCCTGACTGAAAGATCCAACACATTCTTTTTTTATATATGTGTCGAAGCTGGAGCCCCACCAGGGGCAACAAGGCGGCGCCTTTTCCTTGCAGCCGAAAGGTTCCGCTATCATTGGATTGATACGTCGGCCATCCTATGGACCGATCCAGTGCTTTTACACTCCTCCAAATAATTAAATAGTTTAACTGCCAAAACGACGGGGTTCCGAGCTGCCGGGATAGGTCACCGTGTAGGTGGAACATGGCACATTAAATCCAACCGCGGTCATGTAGCCGCGAAGATCATCCACTTTTGCTGATTTCACTCCAGCTGTGTTGATCCATTGGAGATAGTCGCGCATCTCTTTGGACTTCTTTGACTCTTCCAGCATGGCAGCGTATGTGATCCCGCGTTTTGCCACCTTCGGAAGCTCACAAATCCTCTTCCCCCACTCAGCGACACTGGTCACGCCTTCAGGCAAGGTCGGAGGTGAGGAACGGTAGCCGGTCTTCAAAGCGGTCTTGGAAGGTGGCACTGGCTCCTGGTCTTGCTTTGCAGACTGGTGGCACATCTCCTGATGTAGGGCTATGACCTCGAACTGGTCAAGTTCCTCGGAGGGGACCACACTAGAGGGAACAAAACGACGTTTTGCACCATCACTCGTGAGTGACCTCAGATGTGGCTGCTGTGGCTTCCTGAATCATCGCCTCTAGTTCACCTGAGTCACGCAAGGCCTTGAGCAGCTGGCGAACTTCCTCACGTGAGCGGTATGGGGTCGACATGAGGATGAGAGGAGATCTAACAGAGCGCACGATGAAAATATAAGCTCTTGGCAAAAAGATGAGTGCCCTCTTCGCACTTGATCACTGATGAATTTGATTGCATTGAAACACAAAATTGCCCATGAGTGCGCACACTCAAAATAACCCGTGACAGCATTACACTCAAGTGAAAACAGTGAATGCTTATTCTCTGATGCACTGGCTTTTCCAACAACGAAACTTGCAACCCAAACTCAAAACATGCAAAACAAGCAAAAACGGAGTGAACATACAAAGAGAAAGCACTGACATCACATACCCAAAAACCCCATGATCGAACTTATCGATCGATGAGTCCCTTTCTCTTGCGAGACTCCGGAACTTTGGCTGACCTTAGTGTTTTATCTTATGAGTATTCGCTTGTTGTACTGCTCGCCTGGCTAGTCGTTCTTGTCTTTGTGTCTTTTTCTTCTCGAGGATCACAGCTTCTGGGTTCAGCTGATACTCACCGATGGCAAGCGCTGCACGAAGGAGGTCGGCTGGATCTTGCTGATCTTTAGTGAGTCCGTCAGCTAACATTAACTGCGTGGGACACCACCGAACATGCAACCCGGTCCTACTCACGCACTGCTTTAGGATAGCCAAGTCTATGGCCACCCGTTTGTCCTCACATTTGCTGACAGACGACATGGAGATCATGTGATCATAAAGACTCTTACAATCGGTGACACCTACAACCGGAACGAGTTCTAGCTCATTTCTACACTTTAGACCTTCAACTCTTGGTTGTGTTTGGACTTGTTCAGTTGTCCTAAGATCGAAAGCTCATGCCACCCATGAGTCCCGCAAAACACCCTTGAGTATTTCAGCATCTTCTCTACGGAAAATAGGTGCGACAATGTGCAGAGAGGAGGCATAATCCACCATACTAACACACGGAACCCTTTGATTGGTCTTCCATCCCGGCAAATATTTGATGTCTATCCCGACTTTAGCGTTGAACTCCGTTACCCGACCTGTCTTGGCAGGAAGAGCAGCGTGTGGGGTTTGGCTGTTGCTACAGATCGTACATGTGAACTGTTTCGCTTCTTCGATGGCTTGGGGTGAGGCCTTACTATGCTGCAAAACACGGACCAGGTCTTTGACACTAGGGTGACCTAGATTGGCGTGAAGACGTTTGATGGCTTGCTTGATTCAGGAACGGCCAAGGCGTCAGTTACTCCCTCAATGTCTCCCGCAAGACATTCTGTATCTTCACAAGCAGTCAAATCTACAAGATCGCATGGAGTGAGCTCCTGATCACTCAAAGCAGCTTTGAGCACTTGGTTTACAAAGTCAGGGGTATACTCGGCCACATAGTCACTGACATTTTGCCCTGTTCGCAACTTCCCTTCCACCAGTCGGTGTCTGGAACACCTGGGGCACTGCTTGAACAGTGTGGGCTGCTGCAATGATGTCAGCAAACCAGTTGCTTTGCGGATTGGTAACCCGGTGTCTGGACATGTCAGGTTATAGGCACACATATCAACTCTACGAACCCCATACTTACGACGCAAGTGAATCATGTCTTCAAAACCCCAAACATCGGAACTCCAGGGATGCTCAAACAAAAAGTCGCCTCCGCGATCCAACTGCTTGCGAATTTGAGTGAGAGCAAATCGGACTTGTTCCTTGGCAGTTCGAATTAGACGAGCTGTCTCGATCGCTTGGTCCGGTTCAGATGCTCCCAGCCTCCCCAGTGAGTGCACGGCGGGCACACGACGAGAAGCGAAGGCCGCGACGCGAGTGTTCGAGTTCGGTGGTCACTGTTTTCTGTACGTTTGGTTTTGTCAAGTCCCATCCCTGTTTGATATCATACGAAAGACCCTGCAGATTCTGGGCCTCAGCAGCCTTGGTAAATCTTGGCGGAGAAAACAACTCTGCCACTGCCACTGTTGCACTTTTTTGTGCTTCTTGTTTCTTGATCTGAGCTAGTAAACAGCGACATTCTTTCTTTTTCGAAGTAATTTTTGTCTTTTGCCCTTTTCCCGCCCAAATCTCAGGGCACTGCTCAGGCCTTGGCGAACAAGCCTGTGGGCTGGAGGTGGCCTGCGTGTTGGCCACTGGTGCTCCTTTGTCAGGATAGGCCAACACGTCGATGAGGAGTTGACCGGCTTCATTCGTCTTCAGGTCTGCAGTGTGACCTAGCAGTTCCATTTGTCCCTGAGCGAAATCCAACTTCACGGCCATCCGTTCTAAAGTTGGACGACCCAAGAGCAGTGGAGCCGCTCCTGAGATGATAGTTGCATCGATGGTTCCAAAGCACTGTGCTATACCCACTGGCAAACGACATGCTCTATGTGTGGTTTCTGTAGCCCCATTGCCAAACCTGAAAATAGCTTCATTGGTGTAGTACACGACAGGTCCAAAACCCGCAGCTTGGATCATCGGCTCAAGCTGTTTCAGTGTTTGTTCTCCTATGAGGGTTTTCCCGCAACCACTGTCCACCACCCCGAATCCGGGGGATGAGACCAGGCCAGCTGCATAGACATGGACCACATGTCCCACAAAGGTTGGCTGTATTGCCAGCTCTGTCTCTTCCTCAACTTCCACATAGCTGATTTGGTGGAGCGGATGATGACGATGCATCCTTGGTGGGAGGAGCTCGGCATTCTCGAGCCCAGTGACCCACCTTGCCACAGCGGTTGCACTTGGTGCGTTTCTTCAACTCTTCCACCTCGATCCTGAATTGTCGTTTGGCGGTGGAGGCATAGCCGAATTGTCGGCTCTTCTGTACTTTAGAGATTTCTTTCCTCCTTTCTTTCCAAGACACTGCTAAGGCTTCTGCTGCTTCCTGTTCTGTGAAGGGAGATTCATCCTCAACAGAAACTTGTTGCTCATGTTCCAGAAGAAAGGCCTCAACATCTTGTAGGAACGGTTCTGAAGCCATGGGTTCGGACTCAACATCCTCTCCCGAGACCACGTCTACCTGGAGGGCACCGACAGGCTTGCGTTTCACCGATGAGGCTCTGTACATTGGAAAACATGAACGAAGGGCAGCAGCAATGTTGTCATACTCAAGGTTCCCCTGAGTCTTCGCTTTGACGATGGCTTTCTGTTCCTCTGTGAGCCCTGCACAGTGTAATGCAATCCAGCCTTCAGCAGCCGCAGGGAATCGAACGTTGGCACGTCGCTCACAGCGATCGAAAACTTCTCGGACCCTGGAGGTCCACTGCTTCATTGTCTCCGAGTCGTTGGCAGCCAAAGCGAAAACTTCACCCAGCGCTTCGCCCATGAGATCATGGGCTTCTTTCTCAGGAAACCTTCGTTGAAGGATATCCCATAGCAGCTTTTCTCCTTTGTCCGTGGCTAGCTCTTCTAGGGTAACATGCTCGCATGCGTCCCAGGCTTTGCCATCCAGTAAGGTGAAAAGCCAAGGACCTCGTTGCTCTGCCTTGACGTCCTTGAGCGTGAGCATCTTCGTTTGTGCCCACGTCCGCCACTTTTTCAGTGACTTGCCACGATCCTCGCCTTCGCCGTCGAAACGGCGAAGACCTCTATCATCCGATGACATGGCGGCGAGTGTCGCAACCTAGCAGCATCCGCCGGGGCCCCTGGTGGGGCTCCGCTACCAATGTCGAAGCTGGAGCCCCACCAGGGGCAACAAGGCGGCGCCTTTTCCTTGCAGCCGAAAGGTTCCGCTATCATTGGATTGATACGTCGGCCATCCTATGGACCGATCCAGTGCTTTTACATATGTATATAACAAGCACCCAAGGGTTGCAGAGAATTGCTACAAAGACCCCATGTGTTAGTCCGAGCCCTCGGAACGCTCCCACCTCTGCAGGGATGTCCACCGTCGCAGGGATGATGTCCGGCTTCTCCTGGAGTGAGACGATGACGAGAGCGTCTGCGGCCTCCTCCGCCCAACGGCTTCGACATCCTTCTAAGAAGGATCTAAAACCACTGCTTCAGAGATTCGATGGCACAAGTGACCCCAAGTGGTCGGTGGTTTAGAAGGCCCTGCAGCATATATATATATATATAGATAAGACATCTTGGGGTGCCAGTGTGCCATCTACTCTGAAACCACTGTAATCTGATGCTCCAGAGTTTCTCCCAGTTTAGCATCTGTGCTCCGGCGTCAAACTCTTGGATCGTCGGTCTTTCGGAGAGATCTCAAGAAAACACCCGATCAGTCCAGGCAACGGTGACCCGAGTTCAGGAAGTTCCTGTCCTTTAGTGGGGCCAAATAATAGTGGAAATTGGCGTATATCTAATTAATAAATATTACTAGTAATATTGTTAATGATCCATTATTTTATCAATGATTCGATATACATATACTCAAAATTGAAGGAAATGACATACAGTAACGTCGCCTTCCAGCGGTACAAGAGTTGATGTGGGTGTCCAATCTTCTGATCAAATTTCTGGCCTCACTTTCTGTGGGCCATATTTTCTCCATGGTTTGAATGAGCTTTCAAGACTCACAAAAATTACCAGGAGCCACTCAGGTTCCAATTCTTAAACACGACAAATCTTCTGCGCAAAGGGTCCAGATATACGCTTGGGATGAGCTTGAAGACAGGAACGACCAACTGCAGATACTTCTAAGTTACTATCTGTAGATATCTATAGAGAAAATACGTTGGGTGGAGGGGTGGATCATGTTCTTACCATGTATATTCATGGAAGAAGGTCTCCGGACCAATCGATCGACTGCTCTATTTGAGGGGGTCGAACTGGCAGGTGGCCTCCAACCTAATAGCGATGGCCTCCAACCTACTAGCGATGGCCTCCAACCTACTAGCGATGGCCTCCACCCTAGGTCTACCTATATGTTAATCATTGTCCTGCCTTAAAATGTGTATCGCTTCCCGCGGCGTTCGTAGCTCCTCCTCCACCGGCCGGCCGCGCCGCTGTTCCCTCCGCGGAGGTTCCGTCCGCGGCGGTTCCTCGACCGTGGGGACCTCGGAGCGTCGAAAGGGCGATTGGGGCGACGATGTGCGTCATGTGGGTGGATTCTGATGTGTTTCATGGTAGGAGCTGTTAGGGCTCGATGTGTTTTTCGTGGGAGAAGCTGTTGATATCGATTCCTTTCAATGGGAGGAGCTGTTGATTTCGATTTCTTCATGGCTAGAGCTTATAACTTATAACCTCAAAGACTTTTGATACTTTTGGCAGGCACATATGCGATTGTACCCCACTGTGGGACCACAGTAGCAACGTTATGGGGGTAGGTCCGAGCAAGCAACCACGTTCTGGATACTTTCACCATGCTGTTCCTTCAATCCTATCACACCACTATCACCACCTTAAGCCTTAGGCATTGTTGGGGCGCTCAAAGCATGGCTTTCCAGAAATTTTCCAGGAAACAGCGGGGTCGGCCAATCGCAGGGGGGGACCAAAAAAACCACGAACAAGACTTCTGAGCGTCTAATATTGTTTGTCTTCCCTCAGAGGCCGCTGAGAAAAAACACATATCTTTCTCCTGGACCCCCCGTTTCGGGATGGTTCATGGACACGGACTTGACCTCTTTTCGGGACGATGGACAGTGTCGAACTCCGTGGTGCAGTGGAGTGTGATCTTTGGCCAAAGGCTTCGCAAGCGACGGTGACGGTCGAGAAAGGACCAGCCAAATTCCGCTCGAGCAATGAGTTCGAGCCATGGACTGCCCAAACGTACTGGGTAGAAAAGACATGTACGTGGTCGGAACCACGGGTGAATTCTCCATCTGATGGGCTGCGGGGGTTGTAAGAACGAAAGAAGAAAGCCACCTACCTGCGAAACCAGGTTTAGTACCGGATTGAGAGTAGATGGCACAAACCCCAAGTTTGGTGGTTTATATGGAGCCCCATCTAAAAGGACATCATGGGGCGCCAGTGCCATCATTATGCCATCTGCTCTGAAATCTGTATTTTCTACTTCCAAACTTTGCGCACGATGGGACGCGCACCTGGCTCGGGTCATAGTCGGGGTCATCGATTTCCGTGACGAAGGTCAAGCGCCGCGCGGAGCCCTGCCGTCCGGCGAGTCGACGTGGCTGGACGAACGGATTTTGGGGGGGGGCACAGGGCTGCTTTGCTTTTCTCTTTGCTTCATCATGTGAAGCAACACTTGGGCAAAGCAACCATCACCTATAAACATACCATTCGGGAGGCGGCGGACCTTTAGTAGGATGCTTTGGCACAAGCACAACCCGTCCAACCCGTCCAACCCTGCACAAACCTCAAAGAGTGATCTCCAAAGCATGTGCGGGTTGAGTGAGGTAGCGTATATATATATATATATGGCAGTGGATCATGGAACCAGGGATACCGACTGGTCGACCACAGAAAATGAACAAAATGGACTACGAAGGAGGTCAACCTACCCGGTTTGGGGCTCTGGGTTTTGACTCACAGCCGCCCACAGCCATATCATGCATTCTTTCAAAGAGCACGTATGCCGGCACATCGTTCTGGCCAAGCATCAGTTCGAGACGGGCTCTGCATGGCAACCATTCCGTCCCGGACGTTCGCCTATTGGTAATTTGGTATGCAACAATTCCAACAATCATGCAATTGCAAGAATTCCAACTAGACTTCCTGGAAGCATCATAGATCTGGATGGCACCACCTATTTGTAAAGAGCATAATTTGCAATCCTTTCGGGGTCATGCCATCCACTTCCATGATGCTTCCATGGAGTGTATATTATAGGCTGGCAGAAAACACCACGGAGACGGCTTACAGCCTTGGATCGGATTGATGAACACCTGGACCACCTGGAAACTTGACAAACCACAACTCACTCCTGGAGTGGGTTTCATGCTGTTTCTGGTCTTGAGATGTCAAAGGTCTTTCCCTCAAGGGCTTGAGAGGCTAGAGCCCACCCCGTGGTCGCTCCCGGTGACGTTGCTCCCGAATGAGAACATAGAGCCCACGAAGAGAGGTTGAGCTATAGGGCAATAGGATGCAATAGGGCCATATATGGTATATATGGGATGGGTTATAGGGCAGTTCAACCTCTCTTGGCACGGGTTGAACCCGTCCGTCGCTCCCTCCGCCCAAACAAGATCCGCCCTCCACCATTCGGCACCTCCTCCGCCGCACGCAGCTGCTCGTCATCAGCAGCGGCCAAGACCACGGCAGAGCTCCTGGGAGCTGGGGAACACCCCCTGGCTGCCAGGAGCCTTTTCAAAACACTGGGGGGTGATCTGATCTTTAGCATGTTTCTTCGCCACGTCTTCTTGAAACCATCTCCCCGAAGGTTTGGAAGCCAAGGGATTCCACCCAGGAACCGGACAAAGAACAGACCGAGGGATTCACCGCGTGATTTCGAAGGATTCGCCCCAGCCGAAAAGCCTATCATAGCCTATGGGCAATTGTTTTCCACCTCTGTCACCTCCAGCCCTCCCGGTGCCAGCAAAAGCGTCTGGGATATCATGCCAACCCCAAACTCACCCGAGAACGGGTCATGGCACCTGAGCACCATGCTCGGTCAACCAGTCCACTCTCCGAGTGCCAGCCTCCCCTCCAACCATATCCTCAGAAGGTGGTTAGACCCCCAAAACCCACCCCAACCACCTTCTCAGGAAGCAGTTGGAGCCCTAGGGAGAAGCAAAACCAAGGCTCTGGAGCAGTTCGCAAAGTCCACGCACCAGACCTGGAATCCTCAGGAGCCCGAGGAGCGACCCACGAGCAAGGCCATGAAGAAAGATGAGATTGGTCGGGGACGAATGGAGTAGGATGGAGTAGGGCAGGGCGGTTGGAACCTGAGTCCAATGAGCATCCAGCAGGAGCACGCATCACCAGCATCACGGCGCCAGGTTCGGGAAATAGACCCGGTCACCCACCGACGTCGGGTCTACCCATTGACCACTGAGTTCTCTCCCACACCCCACTTGGCTGTTCTCGCCGACGTCGCTCTCGGTCCGAGGCTCTGCGACTCTTCCACCTCCCAGCGCCGGTTCGGTGAGGGGAGGCGCCGGCACTGCAAATGCCCTTTGGGTGTCCACAGAATCCAAGGCCACCAGCCACAAGATGATTCGAGCTGTAGAACAGCACCTGGAAGAGCCTTCCGATAAGCCTTTAGATCTGAAAGTTCATGAAGATGACAACAAGTTAATGATATCACAACTATCTGTTCCAGCTATGTGATTCTAATCACGTGAGACCCTTTCCACCAAAACCACTGAAAGCCACCGGTTTGGTCTCCGGAAATGGTCATCCAAGGGGCCATGCCATCCACTTCCATGATTATTCCAGGGAGTGTAATCTGATTGTCACGCTCCGATGTTGGAAAAACAAAGCCGCCAAGTCCATGTGTCCAACATTCCAACTGGTTTAGATCTCTAGACTTTCTGCTACTACACCTCTAGAATCCTCTAGACCTCACACACGCTGTTTAGGGTCTCTTGCCGGGATAATTGTTGGAACACATGAGTGTCAAAGACATCAGAACATCAGAACATGCATTTTACGATAAAACCGCCCGAACCACCCGGTCAATTCAGGGTTATTCAGATGAACATCTGCAACATGCGGCCAAGGTGAGCTCCAGTAAGTTTCAGGTAGATGAAAGCTTCGAACCTCAAAGTGTAGAGAAAACCCATTATCAACATTCTCCAGGAAGAAATACTGTAGCACAACACGCAGCTGGAGAGATATATCGTCTTATCAACAACACCAACGATATAAGTAACTAAGAAGAACAGCATAGCAGGAATCCATCTGGTCTACCAACAAATGGACGGGTTCCATACTATTCCAATATCCACTGTTTAGTCCTCACTTTGTGTGTGTGTGTGTGTGTCAGTGATTCATCCTCACCAGCCAGGCACGCTAAACAAACGGAACCTCCAGCCACATCCCGTCCATCCTATCGGCTGCCGAAAGAACGCGCAGCTCACAGCAGCCTTGACGCAGAACTGCTGTGCGCGGTCGAAGATCATTTGCCGCACCATGGCACCGGCCAAGGACATCGTGCAGGTCCGCCCTGCGCGCTCGCGCGTACCGTGCATGTACCGCACGTCGCGTGAGCGAGGCGAGGCGAGTACGGCCCCAAGCTGTGCCGGAGACTGCGTGTAACGATTTAAGCAAGGACAGGACAGGGTCAGTCATACTAAATGAAAAGGGACATCCTGGAAACTTGGTGATAGTGAGTATAAGTCGCCCTCAGGTCGTCCGGTCTTTGGAATTTGACATGTCAATGTCTCCCTGATCGAATCGGATTCTTTCGCTTCAAACCGTCCGACACGAAAAGACGACTGATCCTTCAAACCGGTGCCACACCCTGACGAGTCGGACGGCCCAGGTTGGTCTGACGTCCTCGCTCGACCTGGGACCCCTCGGTCTGAGCATCCAATAGTCCGGCCTAGGGCCTAGGGCTCCTGGCCGACCTCCGTTGGTTGGGTGGTTGATGGTGGTTGATGGTGGGTGCCAGGGGGTCACTCTCTGTACCCACACTTCCGAGAGATGGGACTCCGACCCCGGTCGCCACGGGTTCACTCGGTCGGTGGTCGAAACGAGTCGATATACCACGATCCTATTGTGGGACATGGTAACCTTCTCTTGATCAAAAACGTGGATCGTCCATGAGAAAGCCCAAGATGTCGACCACCCAAAACGAGCTCGGAACTCAAGCAGTTCCAAAGTCCAACAAAGACCGTCAAAAACTCGCTCGTGCACGCCTTCCAGAAACAAAAATGCGGCCAAGCCCGGCATCTTTACACTCCCTGGAACTAACATGGAAGTGGAGTTGACAATGCCGGTTTCTGGAGGATTTCATGCATGGCCATGCCATCCACTTCTTCGTTCCAGGGAGTGTACTTCTTCTGTGTCTGTTTCTGGGCCTTTGGATCGCTTCTTCAACCATCCATTACCAGGAGCTCCCAGCTTCTTTCCGGCTCGCTGCTTCTTCTTCACCTCATTGACACAAAAAAAGAACAATTTCTTAAATCTCAGACGCCCAGGTGCCCAGTGGATAATGACGTACTCACCTCCAAAAAGGAGGTATCTGGACCCTATAGCTATAGAAGCAATTGGTCCAATAAGTTGGGTATAGTACAGTACCTACCAAAGCCCAGTGAATGATGATGTTCTTAGGTTCTAGCCTTTCCATCTCTAAAATATATTGATGTTCTCATGAAACAACAAACACAGCTCTGCAGGCTTTCTGGGACCAACCCCAGGCTGCCAGCCGAACGAAATGAACGATCTCGATGTCTATGTCGCTGTGATGGTCCACGCATCAAAACCCTCGTTGGTGGATGGTCCACGGCTTTTAGATAAACACACCAAACGTGGTATAACAACAGGATTAATTGTATAGGATTCATCCTTTACTCTTGAAACAAACAATCAAAACTGTATATAGACTCAAACATCAAACGCGTTTGGATGTAGATCATTGGTACAACGCTCACCCACTCCACCGCCCTCCCCTGTTCTTTCGCCATTAGGTTTTAAGGATTTTTAAGGTCCCGGGCATCCAGGAAGACGTCCGGATCCTGACAAGATGCAACATGAGGCATCTCTCGATGTGTCGAGAAGGAGACCTGGAAGGTAAAAACTCGCCTGCCAAACTACGCTAAACAACAACATCTAGACAACTGACTATAAATTACAGTAACAATTTCTATTCTTCGGACATGCACCTTTGGAGGCGATGGTCTAGGCATGTCTAGCTGGAGGCGATGGTCTAGACATGTCTAGCTCTTTGATTTCCTTCTTTGCGAGGAACCTTTCAAAACTGGGGAGAGATCTATTTCATTAGTTCGCCACATGTTCTGGAACAAATTCCTCAACGATTTCTGTCCGAAACTATCTGTTTGCTTGTTCGGAACCAGGGAGAAAATAGGCACATGTTTCCCCCATGTCAAGGGATTCACCTAGGGAGGCGGGACAAATCACCAACCGAAACCGCGCCAAAGTTCTGCCCAAAACCGAAAAACCCAAGGAAAACATCTCAAATTCCAGTCCTCCAGGTGCCAAGAGCAAAGCTTTTCCGCGGCGTGCAACGTCACGTCGCTGCGTTCGCCCGTCTTCGCGGTGTTCTTTTCGCCTGTGCTTCAGGGATCGGTGACACCACGCGGGGTGGATGGGTGAGGCCAAAAAGGACAAAAACATCGGAAAACCTGCCAACACCGGTGGGTTGCGAGCAATCTTTGGCTAAACCATTGCTAAACAAGAACGACCAGAAATATGTGTATTCTTTGAGGTTGTTTCTTTGGAAGGAAGATTTCATGTTTGGTGCCTCGCTCAAGTGGAAACTTTAACAGCACACAAAGCCCCTCAAGAAGTCGCGGCATCAATTCCAAATCCCTTCTGGAGAAATGGCCTCCAAATATCGCAGCCAGAGACCCCAAACAGTGTTACATCGAATCAGCGAATGCCCGCACTTTGGAGCACACACATGAGAGCACACATAAACGAGCACGCGTATGAGGGCCACTTATTGACCGCTCACACGAGAGCTGAACAATCCAAAAGACCACACATATGTGAGCAAAAACAAATGTGAACAAACACATGAGAGCGCTGATATGAGAGCACAAGTGTGAGAGAGCACAAACATGAGAGCACACCCTGAGAACTGGAGGACGACAGCCAACACATTTTACAACCAACATGACATGCACAGAACTTGCTGTTGATTCTCGACCCCCAAGAAATACTGCAGTTTCAGGAGTTCATCGGCTCAAAGGTCTGGAGAAATTCTGCTAGCCTACTCAAACATCAAGCAACATCAATACAACTGGTTCGTTGAGCCAGTTGACGACCATGGACCTATCAGGTCAAGGGGAAAAACCGTTTTGTTAGCATATGCAGAAGCCAAGCGTCAACAAAACCACTGGTTCAGTTGCGTGCTTGTAGAACCAGTCGACAGGGTCCCTGCCAAGAACCCATGGCTCTATCTGTCAGATGAAAGCAAAGGACAGCAAAATAATGAAAACAAATGAGCGGCCGGCAAAACTACGTGTCCCAAAACTTATGTAGTAGATCGAGGTATCGTTTTTGGGGATGGTGTATTGTTTTCCAACCGGTTTGGACATTATCATAACCGAGGTATCGTTCTCTATATTACTTAGGCAGTTCCCCAGTCATCCGTAGAGATCTCTTCGATGAATGCCTTCAACTGTTCAAAATCATCCTCATCTCCACCATCCGCCAAGAGGGCGCTCAGCGCCTCCATGACCCTGACTTTTGTGCTCGCCGTGGCATGAACAACAAGCTCACCTGGTTAGGGGCAAGATCACTGTTGGCGAGGTAGTTCGAGATCAAGGAGCGGTAGGTCTGAGAGCTCTTCCCAGAAATTTCGTTGGAAAACACCCCCACGTCCGGGATGTTGTCGAACTCCGACGTGGTGTCAGCAGTATCCGACTTGCTGTTCTTTGCCTTCTTCTGGGAGTCGACTTTGGGCTTCTTTGATCTTGCCGGTCTCTTTTTCCCTTTGCGAGCCATGGAGAACCCTACCCTGATGACTTACTTCTAGATCTTTGAGCCAAAGGTAGCTTGAGCCAAAATGGCTACGGAAGAAAAAAGATAGATAGATAGATGGATAGATAGATAGATAGATGAAGGATGGATGGATGGATAGATAGATAGATAGGGAGAGAGATAGATCGATGGATGGATAGATAGAAAGATAGAAAGATAGATAATGACAGATAGATCGATAGATAGATAGAAAGATAGATAGATAGGTAGACAGGTGGATACAATATATAGAAAGATAGAAAGATAGATAGATAGATAGACAGATAGATATAGATATGCACTCAAAAGCAAAAATCTCCCAGCCAAGCTCCAAAAGGATCTGCAGAACCTTTTTCTCTCTGGAGTTTAGGGTAGTGCATGGGTCCTCTGACCCCGGTCTGTTTCACCGAAAGGTGTTGAACTTGAAGCCAGATGAGGGTGTGACAGAATACCCTGTCTGGCCCCCTCGAGGCTTACAAACGCTGCATGCAGCCGCACCAGCCACAGAATCTGCACTGCTCTCCAAAATGCTGCATCTGTCACCAAACGTGCACTTCAAGGTTCACAAGGCTCAGTGCCTGCAACGAAATGTGCACTTCTAGGTTCACAAAGTGCTTGGCCTGCCACGAAATCTGCACATCAAGATTGGCATTATGTTTAGCTCTGCTAGTTACTCTTCCCGACAAAATTGCACTTCCAAAGACAACTTCAAGATCCCCAAAAGAGGCCTTTGGACGATACATCTCCAAAGTCCTCAAAGTCCTGAAAGCGAGCCATGTCCAGAGTTCACAAGTCCCTGCACCTGCTATGAAGTCAACACGCGCCAAAGACCACCACCAAGTCCAAAGTGCTGCGCCTGTCACGAAAAGTCATGCCACGAATAGTGGCCTGCACCAAGTCCGAAGATGCGCACAGCACCACAACGAGAGCGCAGTGGAGGAAAGCAACCGTTCCGGACCACCATTTTGTGCGAGCCTGCGCAGGCGAATTGCACTTCGAAGATCTTGAGAGGCATGAATGCACCGCCAATAGGAGCAAACTAGCTGGACACAGATGCGAGCACCCATGATCAAACACGACCCTAACCCTTACCATAGGTTAGACCCCCTAGTGTGACCACACTGCTTGCAGAAGAAAGACAACCTGCCCTGGGAGAAATCTGCACGGTTTAGTTGATTTGACCGTTTGCTACTAGGCTTGGATTGTACACTATGTTCGAGTCATACCGTACCCACGTAGGGTTTGATCAGAACACAGCATCAAAAATATGAGAAGGAAGTATCAGTTGAGAGAATTTGGAATATCAGCCCGATTTCGTTCTACAAAAGTACGGGCGGTCACGAGTGATATCCGGTGATGGTTCCAAATACCGTCAGTCCGTAGGTCACTAGAACAAAAGGGCCATGGGATAAGTTGATCTCCGGATGCGCTGAGACTTGAAGGGCCCATGCTTTCAAGCTTCCGGATGCGCTGGGCTTCCGTGCTTCCATGAGCTGTGTGATTTCGGGGGTCCATCCATGCTCAAACCAGCCATGTACGAACTTGAGATCCAGAATGAGGTCACTTAGGTCTTGAAAAGGTCACTAGGATGGTCTGGGAATGCTCACCGTGCCGCGAGCCCCCGCAGACCCCCGCGGTGCCTCTGTCCGCCGTGGCGATGGGTGCATTCCGCAGCACCAGGCGCAGCTGCTGCTCTGGGAGGCCTCCCATGGTGGGCAGGGAGTTCCCATGAAACTTGCATGTCTGTTGCAGGTGTCAAAACAATCATGCAGAGTTCTCTCTCCGCCCCCAAACATGAAAAACACGCAAAGAAGACAGTAAGTGTTTAGCTCATGTGGACTGCCTCTTGCTCGGACTGTGGATCTCTTTTGCTTCTGTCTCACATCCGAAAAGAAGCTATAGGGACGCAATGGGTCCGGCGCCGGACCCCAACCACCCAACCACAGCACAGAGCTCTAGGACTGGAGCGAGCTCGGAGCGTGCGATCCATCAACCGCGTGGGTTTATACGGATCTTTCTTCACAGTGGAACACGGATCTTTCTCAGTATAAGGCTTATGGAGAAAGAGTGTGCTATCCAAAAACCCACACTTTCTCGATCAGTTGCGAGTCTCTTTCTCCACAGCTTCATGCACCACACTGGAAGAATCTCCCGGAGTGGAATGGATGTGTGTTTAGTAAGAATCAAACAGTTTGTTCAAGAGTTTCTGGTCCACTTCCATGTAACAAAAAGAACAATGGGTGAATCCCAAAGGAAGTCTCAGCAACTCTGACTCTCCTGTGGTGCACTTATGAACAATGATCCAGGTACACCAAGCACTCCGTTTCTCCCCTCCGTTGCTCAAAAAACGAGGTTCATGAATTGTTTCCAAGAAGTGGGCTTTGGAACTGCAGGGAACGAATGTTTTTTCTCAGGTGTACACAGTGTACACCCCGACTTTCTTGGTTGTTTATAAATGTATTAATGCCACAAGGGCATCGACCAAACCTTGATTCACGGCATGTTTGTTTGAAGCTCGCACAAAGACTAAAAAACCATTCGGGTTGGTTTCGAGGGTTATCTTAAAGACATTAGAATGGTTCACGTTCCCAGATGCTTTTCTGAGTTGGGCTGAGTCAAGGTGACTGATAAATTACATCCTGAACATGACTGTCCCTGTACACGAGTTGCATCTTGGCAGGTGTATCGCGCATGGTAGTTAGATGTAGTTAGTACCCTGCGGGCTGTTCGAGCAATGATTGGAGGTAAACTGCTTCAATCTTTGCAATGTGTGTATTCTGGATTCAATTGAAAGAGAGTAATAATAACATCTACAGTATGCTTATAGCAACACAATCATATATATGTGACATGTGTGTTTTTAAACAAATGATGATGTACTTCGAGTTTGCATTCCTTTTGAGTCCCTCCATCTCTATCCTTCGAAACGTTCTTAGCTCTCCCGTCTCCATCGCGTCTCGCCTGTCTCTTCGGCGATGAGGGTCTTCAAGTCCGCGACTGTCAGGTGTTCGTCCAAGAGGACGTCGTAGTCGCTGGCGAACGGCGCGTTGGTAGATCGGCCACCCACCGGGGTCGCAGTCGGCACCGGTGCAGCTCCAAGAGTCCGGAAAAGAAAACAAAGAGAACACATCCTCTTTGGGAAGATGAAACAAATCACCTGATCCGCGAAACCAGGACAAAGCATGAGGTAGGAATGCGCTAGCGCTGGTGTCCCAACCCATCCGAGGATAGGCAAACTTCATGGCAGGTTGACACAGGTTGACTCAGGTTCATCTTGGTGCTTCGTTCTAGTCTCCTTCTTTGGAAGAAAAGTCGCCGGCTCTACACATGTCCTCCCAATATTTAGAGGTGTTTTGTTGTGTAGACGGCCCTGTAAGAAAAAAATCAATTAATAACACCTGCCTAGATCCGGTAGAACTATGAAAAAAAGGTTCCAAGACAAAACGATATAGTGCACCTCTTGATTCAACGGTGATCAGGCCCACCCTTTAAGAGTCAATGAGCAACACAAGTTGAGGAATGTTTGGCCCACCCCTCATGTGTTGTGAAGGTGGTGTCACATTGCCCGTGCCACCGATGGGCTGAATGCATCTGAGTGCCTGATCACATCACACTTTTCTGACCTCAGGCACTGCACCTTCTAGCATCACCACCTGCCCACCTGAGGCCCACCTCCCCAAGCATGTTTCAGTTTTTTCCCCAATCAGTGTGGACACACTAGCAAAATCTTACGGTAGGAGAAAAGCAGCTGATGCTTAGATCGCTGAAGCGCGCAGGCATGACCAGCTAATTCGCTGCTATTTACAGTACCTCTCGGCATCGTCAATGTGCATTTCGACTGCGCAGGCTCGCTGAATCTGGGGGCCAGCGGCGGGTGCTTCTAGCGACTGCGCTCTCGTCGTGGTGCCGCACGCATTTTGGTACATGATGGTACATGGTGGTCACTTTTCGTGGCAGGCGCAAGGGAAACCTCGTGCTTTGTTTGGTGCTCCAAAGTCGACTTTTCGCGACAGGTGCAAGGGATTGGAGCTGTTTTACTTCGAAATGCAGTTTTCGTGGCAGCTTTGGACATGGTGGTGATCATCGAGGAGCTCAGATTTCGTGACAGGTGCGGTGAATCATGACTTTTGGACATGTGGCGCGTTTGCAGATTTCGTGGCAGGCGCAGCACTCTGTGACCCTCGATGTGCAGATTTCGTGGCAGGTGCAGCACTTTGTGAACCTCGAAGTGCAGATTTCGTGGCAGGCACAGCACTTGGCGAACCTCGAAGTGCAGATTTCGTGGCAGGTACAGCACTTGGTGAACCTCGAAGTGCAGATTTCGTAGCAGGCACAGCACTTTGTGAACCCTGAAGTGCAGATTTCGTGGCAGGCACAGCTTGGTGAACCTCGAAGTGCAGATTTCGTGGCAGGCACAGCACTTTGAACCTCGAGGTGCAGATTTCTTGGCAGGCGCAGCACTTTGTGAACCTCGAAGTGCAGATTTTGTGTCAGGCGCAGCACTTTGTGAACCTCGAAGTGCAGATTTCGTGGCAGGCACAGCACTTGGTGAACCTCGAAGTGCACCGGCACGGGTCTCCGCTCTTTGCAGGTCAGGCCACTGGTTTCGCAACCCCCTTGCCCTACTGTGTCTCGTCTCTTGGTGCCCACGCATTGCGCACGAATCGCACACAACAAACGTCCCGGGTGCTGGATACCTCAGCCCGGCTTGTCACTTCGATACACTGCTTCAACGCGCCTTGCGCATGAACAGAACTTCCACGCACGGTGGCTGTCCACAACTTTGAAAGATCACATTTAAATTTGTCTTCAATCTTCACGTGGTGAACCAAAAGTACCACCGTCCATCGTGATACAAACACAACTTGATCTCCAGAAGGAGGTGAGAAAATCCTAGCCCAGTTGCCGCGTATAATACTTTTCGATCGGCTTGTCTGAACTCGAGGCGCTAGCCTTCGCAGAGGGAGCAAAATGTTGGCCCAAATGAGTACGCTGAGCGCCATTGGAGGAAAGGACCAATCGGGCGTATAGAAAGCAACGAAACGTTGCGATTTGGGTCAACGCCCAGCAGGACCAGCCTGCGCCACGCAGCGAATTCCTCAGCACTCAGGACTTCGGGTGTCGCGCCCCGCGACATGACGGCAAGACGGAGCGCAGGCTCATAGTCCTGGTCCTCACATCAAAAACGTCCTGGGCCTCAGGAACAATCTGGCCCAAAATCAAGCGATAGCAGAGACGCTTCACTCCCTTCGCGCTTGGCGGTGCTCCGACGACCAACGCCATCACTGATGCTTCGTCCGTCTCAGCAGGAGCAGCACTCCCGCTACCGCGCGCGAGTCGGGCCCCGCTGCCATAGCGCTTCTCCGTGCCCTTTCGCAGGTTCGATGCGCACCTGCCGCAAAAAGGTTACCTCTCTCTTCCGCCCACTGCTCTCACGCGCTACATCACCACAACCGCGCTCTGGCATCACGTCCGAACCTGACAGCCTCCTTCACCGCTTCTGCTTGAACGTGGACGCGGGCCTCTACGCGCACTACAGCGCAACCAAGCTGCCAAGCACAAACAGTCCGAGGCAATATGCCCTGTCTCTCATGTACTTCTGTTTAACCATGCCCACACTATCCTGCAGGGGTCTCTGTCTGTTTTTACCCATCTTCTGCCGCCTCTAAATCGTTTCTGTCCATCTCTGAGGAGATAGGTACAGCACTTGGTGAACCTCGAAGTGCAGATTTCGTGGCAGGCGCAGCACTTGGTGAACCTCGAAGTGCAGATTTCGTGGCAGGCACAGCACTTGGTGAACCTCGAAACGCAGATTTCGTGGCAGGTTTGTGCTCTCAGATGCTCACTCTCACTCTCTCACTCTCACCCTCACTCTCACTCACACACACTCACTCTTCACTCTCTCACTCTCACTCGCACTCACACTCACTCACTCTCCCACCCCACTCACACTCACACTCCTCACACTAGACACTCACACCCACTCACTCTCCCACTCTCACACTCTCACTCTCACTCACACTCGCACTCACACTCACAATCACTCACTCACCCACACTCACGCTCACCCACACTCACACTCACTCTCACTCTCTCACTCTCACTCTCACTCTTTCACCTCCACCCTCACTCTCTCTCACTCTCCCACTCTCACTCTCACTCACACTCACTCGCACCCACACTCACTCTCACTCAGACTCATTCTCACTCTCACTCGCACTCTCACTCTCACTCACTACACTCACACTCCCTCACACTCTCACTCTCCCACTTTCGCTCGCACTCACACCCCCTCACACTCTCACTCTCACTCTCACACTCACTCTCACCCACTCTCACTCTCACTCTCACTCTCACTCTCACTCTCACTCTCACTCTCACTCTCACTC